CTTTTATTCAATATTAGTATCCTGTCACATTTCCGTTACTATTTTCGCAAAGAATCGTGAGAATTATTGAGTCAGTCCAACTTCTCGTGCATACATGTGTTTGTGCGCTGCGACAGGTTGCGGAAACCCCTGGAACCGCCCTAGGAAGGATCATTCCGAGTTCTTTGACGCAACGAAAAGACCTGCCGGATCCTTCGTGGCGACAAGGAGGACGTGGTCAAGGCTGGCGTCACGGAGGGCAAAATTGTGTTTAATCCCTACCCCATGTGCCCCCATCCCGAACTCCTTCCCCTCCCTACCCTCAATCCCATCGTTCCGCATAACTCCGCTCCCCACAGTTCCGCCACACCCTCCATCACCACCGCAGCAAACCCTCAACCCTCTCAAACGGCTCCTCTCGTTTACATCGCGCGCAGTGGAAGTCACATCCACTTCCCCGGTCGTTTAGTCTCGCAGTGCTTCTAGCCTCATGCCCAGCTTCCGGCGTCGTTTTACGCTGCCTGGAGGAGGGTGCTGTGCTGACTAACTAGATTAAACAGCCTGCTTAACAATCTTGTGACATTTTCTTGTCTGAACAACTTTGATTCATCTAGGCGGACACACGCCAGCTTAACAATTGCAGCCATCCAGCTTGCTTGAGCAAAGTCAGGTTGTCTCACATTTGTTCAATACTATTACCCTGCCACTTTCCCTTGTTGCGTTGTTACTCTGTTGGCATAGACTGGACGTCATTTTTCGTCATACTCACCGACCATGTTACGTGAATCACTTGTCCCATACTGTCCTAGTGCTCACTCTCAAGCCGCGCCACCAGCTGCATAGCGACTGGTAATATAGACAGGAAACAATGACCGATAGACTGAAATGGCCCTTTTGGCTGACAAGCCAGTGTGATATGGTCTGATGCCGTTGGTAATAGGAACCGACCGAGGAAAAAAAGAGGTATTGCCAATCTTCCCAAGTCGTACTCGAAGCCAATATCACTAACAAAATAAGAGTGAAGTAATGAGGCACAGGGCGGGGACGGGCGGTTGCAGTGCAGCAGCAAAGCTATCCAACTGACAGGGAGGGAGCGTTCGAGTGAATGGTTGAGTATTATCCATGACATGCAAACAACATAGCTTCCTAGGCTGTTTTCCCCCGCTTTTCTCTCCCCCTCAACCTTCTACTGTCAGGATCTTGCAAAAGGATTGCAACTACTTTACTGTGACAAAATGCTGTGTAATACGCCATGAATCTCTGCTCAGATAGTGCAGAAATCGCTTGCTGCCCTTCGGAATAGTTATAAAAGTCAATTTAATAGACAAAATGTTGATCCTCATGCTATTCTGAGTACCGGAGTACATCAGGGCCTGCCTTGGTTTCCGTTCCCTCTACTCTATCCACCAGGCCACGTCCGTTTCTAATAGGTTTGTACTACGGGGATGTTGGGAGGCTCGAGCACGTCACCCAGACAGAGACACAGACATGCGAGGTCACGCCGGACAAGTCAACCTTGTAACAGCGGGAGGTGTTGGGATGA